TTAAGGGGGGTTTTTTGGTTTCTTTTATCATTTATTTCCAGTTTCATTGCACTGTGGTCAGATAATGTGCATGGAATAATTTCTGTTTTCTTACATATACTTAAGCATGACCTATGAACCAGTATGTGGTCTATTTTAGAAAATGACCCATGTGCAGCTGAGAAAAATGTGTATTCATCTGTTTTGGGTGGAACACTCTGTATATGTCCTCCAAGTTCATTTGTTTCAAGCTCTGATTCAGTTGTGAAAAGTATGGAACGCTTCATGAATTTGCATGTCATCCCTGTGCAGGGGCCATGCTAATCTTCTCTGCATCATTCCAATTTTATTATATGTGCTGCTGAAGCAAGCACTGGTGATTTCTTTTCACTTGAAGAAATTTCTCAATAAGATGAGATCCCAGTTGTTGATTCTTTGAAGTATTTCCTGTGCAGTTTTATTTTTGTTCATAAACTGTCTGCCTATCCCTATGTCTTCAAGATTTCCATCTACTTTCTCTTCCAGGAGATTTAGTGTTTCTAGTTTAATATTAATAATCTTTAATCCATTTTGACTTTAGTTTAGTCCTTGCAAGAAATTTCACATTTTTTCTTGTCTATTTTTATTTTTTAAAAAATTTATTTTATAGAAAGTAAAAATTAGATCCAGGTCTAGTTTCAGTTTTTGGCATGTGGAGAGCCAGTTTTCCTACCACCATTTGTTAAAAAGGCTATCTTTCTTCTAGCGAACATGTTTGGCCCCTTTGTCAAATATGATGACTGTGTGTGTTTGTAGCTATATCTTCATCTTCTAATATGTTCCACTGATCCTTGGGTCTGCTTTTCACCAGTAGTATGCTGATTTTATTATAGTAGCTTTGTAGTATAATTTCAAGTCAGGAATTATAATGCCTCTTGCCTTGACTTTGTTGCCCAGAATTGCCTTGGCTCTAAACTTTATTATTTCCTGCTGTCTTTGAGCTTTGGGCTTAGTTTGCTTTTCTTTCTCTAGGAATTTTAGGTGCAGAAATAGAGTTCTCTTGCTGTTTTCCTAATGTGTGAGTTCACCGCTATAAATTTCCCTCTGAGAATTGCTTTCATTACATCACATAAGTTCCTGTAAATTATGCTTGAACTTCTTTGATTGTCAATATTGTTTAATTTTTTGTTTAATTTCACCTGTAACCCATTGGTTGCTGAGGAGGGTGTTATTTAATTTCCATATGTTTATGGGGTGTTTGTGGTTTCTTTTGTCATTAATTTCCAGTTTCATTGCACTGTGATCAGATAATATGTATGGGATAATTTGTTTTCTTGCATATAATTAAGCATGACCTACAGACTGGCATGTGGTCTATTTTAGAAAACAGCCTATGGGCAGCTGAAAAGAACGAGTATTCAGATGCTGTTGGATGGAACACTATGTGTTTACTAAATCCATTTGTTCAAAGGTCTGCTTCAGTACTGCTACCTCTTTGCTAACTTTTTGTCTACTTGGCCTATCTTTTTGAGATAAAGAAGTGTTAAGGTCCCCTTTGAAGACTGTGATACTGGTTATTAGATTTTTCATGCCCATTAAAATTTGTCTTACATAATTGGGTGCTCCCATATTTGGTGCATACATATTTATGACTGTTCTCTTCCTTTGAATTTTTCCCCTGACCAGTATGTAGTGACCTTCTTTATCTCATTTGATAATTATTTTTTGGAAGTTCAGATTGTCTGTGAACAGGATAGATACCCTTGCTTTTTTCTGAGGTATTGGAGCATATAGTACTGTTTTCCATCCTCTGTCTTTCAACCTATCAATTTCTTTATGGGTTAAATGTGTTTCTTGTATACAGAATATTTTTGGATTTTGCTTCTTAATCCACTCTGCTGATCTATTTCTTTTAATTAATGAGTGAGTCCATTTACATTGGTGGTTATATTTGATATGTATTGACTTATGTTTGTCATGTTATGTTTTTATTGTTGCATCCCAACTTTTCTCCTGTGTTTAATTGTTTGTTCTATTTAGTGGGATCTTTCCATTGTCATTCTTGGAATTACGGGCATTTTTAATCCCTTTATAGAATATTTTTTAGTATTTTGTGTATGGCCGGTTTGGTTGTCATGAATTTCATTAGTTGTTCTTTGTACTGGAAGTATTTCACTTCTCCATTAAACTTGAAAGAGACTTTTTTGCAGATATATCAATCTGGGTTGGAATTTGTTTTCTTGTTGAACTTGAAATAACTCGTTCCATGCTCTTCTTGATTTAATGGCTTGTGAGAAGAAATCTGATGTCATTCTGATGGGTTTTCTTTTAAATGTGATCTTTTTCTTTTCTCTAGTGGCTTTTTTTTTTTTTCATTACCAGGTAGTGAACTCAGGGCCTTGTGCTTGCCAGGCAGGCACTTATTCTACTGAGCTATCTCCGCAGCCCCTCTAGTGACTTTTAGTATGTTGTTCTTGTGCTTAGGTTCTTGGATCTTGATTATTATATGTGTGGGTGTGGTTTTAATTAGGTTGATATTATTTGTAGTTCTATATGCCTTAGTTACTTGAATGTCAGATAGTTTCGCCATATTTCAGAAGTTTTCTGCTATTACTTCTGCCCATGTTCTTTCTGTATCATTTGTGTTGGCTCCTTCTTTTTCATTATGTGCCTATTAATCTTATGCTGTTTATCTTTGCATAAACTTGCAGCTGTTGACCTACGACTATTTCCTGGGTCCTAGCTGTTTTTAAGATGTCTTTCCTTACCTTTTCACTAGCTGCAATGGTGTCTTTAAAGTCTGAAGTCTATCTTCACTTTCCTTCAAATGGTTTTGCCAACTTTCAATGGAGCTTTTAATTTCCTCTGTATCTCTTTAAATATGCCTTGGCAGAACAGTTTTGGGTTAAATGTCCCTCATCCCCACAGCGGAAACATGACCTTACTTTTTCCCCTTTTTTAGACTGTGGATGAATAACCTGAGTAATAGCTGCTGCCAGGGCAGCTCCCTGTACCCATGAGGGGCAGATATCTGCACAAATCTGAATCATCTCAGGCAGTGTAGCCTGCTGCTTATGGTCTCTTAAAGCCTCTTTATACCATATAATTCATTTTTGAAGGCCAACTGTTGATTATTTCGCTAGCTTCCCTGTCGGGCGCTCGTTGAAATCACACGCGAGTCAAATGGTGCTTAAGCTTCTCTTTATTCTTCTCTCCCCCGAACTTCTCCCCGGAACTACTACTCAACCGAACTACTTTGCCGAACTACTTCCCGAACTCCTCCGCTGAACTACCCCGGACCTTCCATAACATCCTCTTTTATACTCCCCAGGACCAATCAAATAAGGCTGCGTGTCTTAAACCGGCCAATGGGCAAGTGCCTGGTTGTAACAGCTCTTAGCCAAATAGAATGCGCCAGCAGAGGCCAGCAGAGGTTAAGCGTAGCTCTGGAAATCCCCCGTGGGGGAGGGCAAGCATGTAGGGCGCCGGCGCCCAACACTTCCCTATTCACTGATAATCTTCTCAGTAGCTTGCAACAAACCTGCAGCAAAATCTTGGAAAGGTTCATCAGGGCCTTGCCTAGCAGAAGCCAAGTTAAGGAATGCTTTACTTTTACAAGGGCGTTCCCTCCAAGCCCAAAGGTAGGTCTCTTAGTTTGCTACATAGTTGCAATGTAAAGGTCAGTTCATTGTGCTAGCAAAAGCACCCTTCTAATTAGCAAATCTTTTGTAATGGCTAAGTTGTAAACCACATTTCCTGCTATATATGAAGAAATTTTCTTTCCACAATAAATAGTTTCCTGGATTCAATAATAATAATAATAACAACAACAAAATCTGCTTCATGCTTTCTATTTCCTTCCTATATTGCTCTTTCAAGGTTTCCTTCATTTTTCTATTCTCTAATTTTTTATCAGCGTCTTCTTTAGAAACACTTAGTAATTCTCTCATTATAGTTATCATTTTTTTATGTGGGAAATTATTTCTGATCTGATTTCCTCTATACCCTTCTACAGTTGTTCCTTTACTTCAGTTACTATTATTTCAGAGATTTCAGATGTGTGACTTTCCATTTCTTCTATGCTGATGTCTCCTGGGTTTGTTCTGGGTGGACTCAGGACCTGAGATTGCATTTTGCTCCTGTTTTTTTTTTTTTGTGTAGCACTGTC